GCGGCTTCCTTCTCTCCAAAAACTTCTCTTAGAATGATATACCAGAATAGTGGTTTCCACCACTATAAGACTACGGGTCTCTTCCGTTCCACTTGGCTCACTAGCCTACTAGGCTCACTCTTTTGCCATCCACTTTCTTGTAGCGGGCAGTGTTCTGTTTAGAGGAACACTTCCCCTTTGTGACTTGCGGCAGGGTCTCTTTTTACGACATTGGGCAGCCGACGGCCCTTCCCTCTCTGGTGGGCAATGATTGGTCGTGAATGTGGGGAGGGGCGCTCTTCTTAGCGGGCCGTTTCACTGCATTTGACCTAGCTCTGCGGATGATAGCTTACCAAACATAGCGGCCGTTGTGGGATCGGCAGTAGGCTGTGTTGGTGGGCTGTTGGCGGGCGGCCCTTTTTCTTTGTAGCACTGGGCGTTATGCTGAGGCTCTAATTGCAAGCGGCTGCAGGCGCTCTTTGTCCGCAAACAACTTCTTTCGTTCGACCCGAGGTTGGCAGTACCCTTGTTCAAAGCGGGCACCCGCCCCTTTGCAGACGACGTCGTGTATTTGCACCGAGGCTGGCAACATTGTCGATTCGTAGCATTGCGCTTGTCTTGTTGGATCTGGGTAGTACTACTATTGTGTGAGCACGCCCTAAGATCCTAGATGATTTCGTAGCCGTTTCATTGAGTTTGATAGAGTGGTAATTACCCCACTGGCAATTACCCCACTGGCAATTACCCCCTGGCATTTACCCCCACTGGCAGTTACCCCCACTAGTGGTAGTTACCCCCTAGGCCAGTGTGGAGCATTGGATAGGCATCTTTGTTGGAATCTCGGAGGCTAGGCCGTTGATGTTTGAGTTGACTCACATAGAGCTAGAGTTGGACTCGACCAAGTAGACCTAGCCACGGATTTATGACTTGGACCATTGACTTGTATTGGTCACTCATTTCCTAGTAGTTGTGCTTGACTTGAAACGCGCTCCAAGGCGCTTGCTTTCAACATGTCTTCAGTGGGCAATCTAGCTGTACTCAACCGACTCTTTCATTTTATTTCAGACAGCAAGAGCGCTTTGTGTTCGTGGCCGGCACTAATGCTCTCTGTTATAAGCAACTGACGGCGCTCTTTTCGTGGCCGGCACGCATCTCTTTGCAGGCGGCTCGTGGCATTTGGACCGAGGCTCTTTGTTTCCGAGAAAGAGTGCTTTTCGACCGTATTGGGAAATTTGTTTCTGCAGGCAAGAACCACTCCGATACTTTGAGCTTCGAGCATAATTTCCATTTGCAGGCAATAACAACTTCGGTACTTTGAGACTTGAGCATAATTTCTAGGGGCCGCTCACCCCCACCGGTGTGACCAACCGCATCCACATCCGCTTCGACCCCTCTAGCCCGAGCCGTCCGTCAAAGCTTCATACAATCTTGCGGGTGCGGTTGTTGCAGACAGCAAGCACAAGGTATGATTATCCCTGCAATCCATAGCCGCATGTCCCATTCGTTTTGTGAGGCATGCGGTGGCATTGGCGTTGGCAACATTCTGACCTCACGGTTTCGAGTACTCTGATGGTCTTTCAGCCGCTATGTGCATCTGAAACGTCCTTTGTCATTGTTGCGCTTATGGTTGGCGTTGGCACCTTCAAAAGTTCCGCTGCTATCCATTTCGAAACAACGCCGACACCACGCTAATAGGCTTCGGCTCTATGGAGAGGTAACGGTCGGTCGTTTGCGTTCGAAAAGTCTGTTGCCGCTAACTTGTGTGAGATTTTTATTATCTCTGCAGGACACTGAGTTGGGGTGTCTTGCCCTCTGCACGTGAATGTCAATATATCCAAGCTTTCTCTCCTTTCGTTGTGGGACAGTCACTGCTGCCGCTAAAGTCGTCAGCCTTTCTTTCTTTCTGCTCCCCACGTCTCAACGAACTGTCGCCTAGCGCTGCACGTGGGTTTGCTTTCCTGACTCGATCGTAAAGCCCGGGAGAAAGGGGGCCCAATTCTCTGCAGACCTTGGGAGCTCAAGCTAGATTTAGAGGGTGAGCTGGCCTTGCACGCATGGGAGGGTTATCGGGAGAGGCCGCCACCGTTGTGAAATTCTTGGAGCTTGAGAAAGAGGAGCTAACCCTAGATGAGATGCAGCCAAAGCTAATGCAGAAAGAGCAGTAAGTTCAAGTTGAGGGCTGAAGCGGGGTCATTGGAGGGGATTTCGGGTGGACATGAGCGGTGGCGTATGCTGCCAAGCATAGAGGCTACCCGAGCGTAGATAAGGGCCGGAGAAGCTCAAACGAGTTGGGAAAAGCTCGGAGGTGAGAGGCGGGAGCGCAAACCCGCCAACGTGCTATTGATGTGGCAAACTGGGCCACATGAAGGCAAAGTGCAGGTTACGCAATGCGGAGTGCCAAGTGCGGCAAGAGGGGCCGCACAGAGGTGGTCTGTAGGAAGAGTGCGCGCGCAAGTGGGCGCGTAGAGGAGAGAAAATTTGCGAGGGGTGCAAATGGAGTAGCCTTTCGGCATATGGCAACGACGGGGATGTGCGCAAAGGAATGTGGATTGTCGATTCGGGCAGCACTCAACAAGTCACGGCCAATCGGAGCCAATTCACGAGCTACAAAGAGCTCGTGCGTGACGGGAAGATCATGGGCATCTGTGGTGAGTCTCTGATTGCGGTAGGCATTGGAGATGTGGATTAAGTGTAAGACCCCGAGCGGTGAGAGTACAATAATCTTGAGGGATCCGGCATGCTCCGAGGGCACATGCGAGGTTATTTCTCCGACGAGAGCAACCGACGTGCGAGCACGACTAGTGCTCGAGGGGAGAATTGCGCAGATAGAGACGGACGGCATGGTCCGTATGGAGGCAGTTAAGCGTGGAGGACTGTGGGAGATTGATATCGTGGGGAAGCCGAGGGCATTCCTTGCGAGGGGACCGGTCAAGAAAGACCGGGTGTGCGCCACGGCAAAGAGGCCAGTAAGAGCGGAAAGCGAGGTGAAAAAGACGGTGAAGGACGTGGAGGTCGACATAGACGAGTCGAACGATGAGAATAGGGGCGTCGAACGAGAGAGGGGAATGTTTGTGGGGCCGGACGAGGAGCCCCGCACAGGTTCAAATATGGTCGAAAAAGGGGCGAAAATTGGATTGACGTGCAAGGGAGACGTGCACACGCCCGCGCCGCGCGCACAGATTCAAAAGGGGTCAATGTGGGCCGATTGTGGGAAGTTGCGCGCGAAGTTGTGGAGGGGTCCAAGGAGATTGAAACTGCAAAGAGAGCCCAACGACGGCGATAGAGAGCGAGCGAGCCCGCCGGTGTGGAACAGGTAAGAAAGAGGCCCGTAGTGGAGTCCCGAGATTCGGGTATATATACCGCGCAAGCGCGACGGGAGTCGGCCGAGTGGTATCGCGCAAATGTGGGAGCAACAACCGAAGTCGTGGAGCCGAAGTACCAGAGCACTGAGTGGAGAAGACGTCGTCGGAGTAGAGCGACGATGGCGAAAGTGGAGGCGTAGGTGACGCCAAAGGCGAAGAAGACAGCCCGCAAGAGGAGCGCAACAAGTTAGAGGTTTAGAGTAATTCGTTTGAGTGGAAGTGTTAGAATTTGGTGATTGTGGTCAGCCAAATTACTCTGTGATTAGGGTTCGGCCCGAGTTAGGATTTGAACTAATGAGCGCTGGCATGCGTGCACATTGGCTGGACGGTTAACCAGTTGGGCGGTTTGAAGGTTAGGCGTTTGAGAGCGATCGTCAATGTAAGCCGTAGAGAAGGATATCGAAGGCTAAGACTCAATGTGACTTGTGAGCTAGGCTAATAAGCCTAGTAGTAGTTTTTTAGGCTTGTGAGCCTAGTGGAACGGGAGAGACCCGTAAGACGATAGTGGAGAAACACTAATGTGATACATTATTCTAAGGAAGTATTTTGCCTTCCCCAAGTCGCGCATGTTGAACTTCTCCCCCAAATGCGCCTTTACCTTCGCAATGCGGTCCGCTGTCCAATTGCGACTAGGATGTCGTCCCCCCACACCACTAGGTAGACCCGCTCCTCGGCTACTATTCCCGTGAAGAGCGCCGCGTCCGCCATTGACGCCACGAACTCAAAGTTCCCGAGCTCCTCTTCAGGCGCATGTGCCATGCACGGGGCGCGGAGCGCAACCCGTACAAGGTGCGCTCAAGGCGGTAGACCATGTTGGGCCCGCCTTGCTCGTATCCCTGCGGCTGCTGCAGATCTCCTTCTCCAGCTCCCCATTGTGGACCGTCGTCTTGACGTCCAGCTAGTGCAGCTCCGAAAGTTGCGCTTCGCGACCACCGCCAACAATGCACGCAATGTGTGCTTGCTCATCTGAGCATAGACTTCTTCAAAACCAATTCCTAGCTTTTGCAGGTACCATTTCGCCATCAGCCGGGCTTGTACCTCCACATTTCCGAGAGCGTCCCGCTTGGTTTCCTAAACCCACTTCATGGGAATCGGCTTGACCCCTTCCGGTATTTCGACGAGCTCCTAGATCCCGTTCTTCCAAAAAGACCGCATCTCCTCGTTCATTGACTTCCGCCATAGTTCACTTCCTTCTCCACCCACGGCTTCCTGATAGGTCTGCGGTTATGGGTGCTCCCCTTCCCTTTGAGGTGCTCCCCCGCCTTTAGTTCCGACGTAAAGTTAGCGCGGTACCACTCCCCCGGTGCACGTCTTTCACGCGCGGGGTACCTCTGGGCAGCCGGTGTTTGCATCCCGTTATCCTCCTCTATCTCTTCCGGCTCTGACCCTGGTCTCGCGCACAGTTTCAAACTTGCCCTCATTTTGGCCCATTTGTAAAAGCGCGCGCGGCGGCCGCGGGTCAGCGGGCGCGCGCGCGGCCACAACGTCGCCCTCGCGCGAAGGTTCAACCGTCAGTGTTGGTCCCTCCGGGACCTCCGTATGAACCTATGCGCCGTGACCCTCCGCCGTCTGAAAGCGTCCGTGTGGTCGGAGCCAAGCTCGACAACCCCATATCCCCGGATCCCCTCGTCAAACATGACGTCTCAAGATATGATTAACTCTCCGTCACGGTCCTGGAGCAACCTATACGCCTTCGAGTCCGGCTCGTACCCCACGAAACATATCGCTTGCTTACCGGATTCAGCTTACGCCTTCGCTGCTTGGGAACGTGGCGGAATG